AGCCTGCTGGTCAGCATGACCTCTGTACAACAGCAAAGAAACTCACAGGGAATTTCTTACCAATATGACCTTAACCCAGTTTTGATTTTTTCCTCCATTTCTCATCCTGAGTAAGAAGGGGTGTATTCACTTTCTTCTACCCATTGATTACCTTATGCTATGAGGATTATAGACTCCATTATGTGGAAATATTGCATCATCCATGTTTGCAGCAACCCACAGGGACTTGGGGGCAGGTGGAATCTGTATAGGATTACCATAATATAGTAATAATTATGTGAATTGTGTCTCCCCACACACTACTGAGACAAAAAAAATGATTCTAAGAAATCCCAGAAAATTCTTATTCAATGATATACTACTCACATGAGTTTGGAATTCAATATCTGATGTTTGAAAGGCAAGTTTTCATGCTACTTCCTCTTTAGAGGGAACATAATTCAGAAATTATTGCTGGGGCCTACCCATGGTTTTTGACCTAGAAACAAGATTGCAGAGTAAGAACCTGCTCCTCCATCTGGTATATACACTAATAATCCTCCCCACAAGAGCAATTCAGTTAACTGAACTGAATCCGTAATATTATTGTCATGGTGGGCCTCTACAGGTGGTCCTCTAGATCACATCAAATACAGCCTGGCTTTCAGATGCAAGTGTGAGGTTAGATGAAGCTGGCAGGTAGAAAAACACTTCTTTGTATTCGTAAATTCAGCCAATTTGATCAGGACTTGCTGAGAAACAGCCCCATGACACCATTTTAGAAAGGAAAAGAGATAGAAAACACAGATTTACTATCCTATTTACCAGAGGTTTGAACTTTTAAACATAACTGTGAGAAAAATAAGAGAGAACACAAAATAGACTCAAAATTATCATCTTATCTCTATGTCCACACCTGTGGCTTTGTGGACACAAGGCTACATTACAAGAGATTATCAAAGTGGGAGCTAACCTTCATATCTTTGTAGCATCAAGTGAATGTCAAAGTCATCATCACAAGCACAGCAGATCTTATTTGCTCTGTTAACTGCATGACTAACATATTTTCAGTATAGGTCTCTGAAATACACTTTGTAAGAAGGAAGATTGCTCATTGGAACAGTAAGGAAAGAAGCACGGAAACACTTTGCTAGAAATAGAGAATTTGAGTTATGCCACTGAGATCAATGGAAATGCCGAGAAAAGCCTCAATAAAAAGTCTGGAATTTGACCCTAAATAAGCTTACACAGTTTTCAACAAATTGAGTTTTTACAATCTGGTGGAAGCTCTAATTATGTTGTCATAAAGATCTCAGCACTGTTGAAATCTTATTTCTGAAGCTCTCAAAGAGGCATCTGTAAAGGATTTTCTTTCCCATTTTGTTCTGATAATGGACAATATACAAGGTATCAAATTAAAGAGAGCAATATGGGACATGCCCCTTCCATCACCTCCCTGACAAATGAAGCCAATAAACAATGGCTGGGTTTTATTAAGTTGGATTAAGGACCAAAATCTCAAGCTCTGACTCTTCACTTAGACAAGTTCCCAGAGATAAGGACAATTTAAAGTATGTGTTTCACACAGTGGTAAAAGACTCACCTCTCCAAAGATGAAGCATGGTTTTAAATACTTTAATTCAGGAGGTGCCATAAGTGTTTAAAGACAGATATCACAAACATCAGACTTCTTTGTGTACCAGAAAGATACAGAACTTCAGGAAGACAGTGCAGAAAATTTTAGAGAGACATGAAAAATTTTTCACAAGTTCAATGAAAACAAATGTTTTATAGATATAGCTCAGATTTAACAAACTTCTGCCAAAGTCCTGGGAGTTTCCATGAGAAGCCCACAGATATTCTGGCAGCTCACTTGCTGCCTTTTGGTACAACTGACCTTCCCAGGCTGCCCTTAGGGACAGCCCATGGACACAACACCTGAAGAACATCTACCAATCGATGGCCATGGCCTTGAGTGGGCACAATGAGGATCACAGGGTTCTGCAAGGAGGCCCAGAGGGCAAGGTAGGGAGGCCCCTCAGGGCCAGGGCAACTGGGTGCCCTGCTTCAATTATGAACAGGATAACAGTTATGTTTCTAATTCAAACATTTCAATGTGCTCAACCTTCTAGTAAAATGGAAAATCTCACTTGAACAGATCTGGTCAAAGCCTGCTACTGTAACTCAGGTCTCTAATATTTTAATTATCACAAAATCTTTATTACTAGTACTTACACCTGTTAACACATGGGCCAGGGCTTATCTGGCTCTGTCACTTCGGCCTGCTCCAGGAGTGGGTCACACCCCAGAGCAGGATGACCCAAGGTGTGACTAGAGCACTTGCTCTACGGCTTTTTGGCTGTCAGTCTGTACTCTGAGGAGACAAGGACAAGAGGGAGATCTTTTGCATGGGATAATAGAGGATTTATTGCTCTGGGGAATCTTGGGGGCAAAAGACAGAAAATGTGAGTGTGCAACAGCTGAAATAGGGAGGCAGTTCAAAGGGAGGGTACAAAGCATCAGCTAATCAGAGATATCCTGGGGAGGGTAAAAGGCAGGGTTCACAAAATCATCATCCAATGAGGGAGGTAGTGGGGGGAAATTAGGTCACATGGACTAATCAAATGTTGAAATTTAGGGGATTTCCAAAGTGGAATTCCAAGCATGCGGTGGGGATAATGTAGGATTGACAGGGGACTCAGGGTAGATTGACAACATGGGGTGGGAGGGTCTGGGCAGGGAGATAGTTTAGACCAAACTATCAACTTGGGTAATAACAGAACATACCATTAACAAGAAACACACTGCAACAACCTGTGGCATCAAATACACCACATTTAGAGCAACACAGCATAAATGTAAAACATATAGGAGACGTAACAACAGATGGGTGTTGAGTGGTCTCACCAAAAACTGGCATTACGGTTCTATCAGCAGCCAAGAAATAATTCCTTTCCAAAACTTGTTTTAGTTTGTGAAATATTTTATTCCATTATTTTCTCTTTTCTCTCTTTTTTTTTTTTTATTATTATTTTTTTTATTAAGGAAAGCATGTGTTTCTGGCCTGATTTACACATGAAATTCCTTTAAATTTAGAACCAAACAGAACTTCATTTCAGCTGTGTTTTAATGAAATTATATTAGAAGAATTGTCTGCTGTGGAGAAGGTAGTCAGTATTCATTGCCAGCTGAAAGATGTCAGCTAGGGTGACACGTTGGCAATGTGTATTTCCACACATCTTGTTTTAATTTCAAAGCACAAATCTGTAATGTAAAACTGTATATTCCTAAGGCTGCACCATCTTTGAAAACTGGCCATGTTTGGTCAATTCTCTCTTGGCCAACATCTCCAGATTCACAAAAAAATATCACAGGGATTTATTGAACCAAAGCAGTTTTTTGTACATTCTTCCACAGCTGTTGTTTCTTTACCAGAGGCAGTATCCTGGGTTCCTTTGTTGCAGCACAGCCTGGGTGCAGAGTACACCTGTAATCTGGGATACATTGCTATTGCAAACATGAACTCCTCAGACACAGTGGGAGCAGAGCCTGGCTGTTTGCCCTGCAGCTTACAGTGCACAGACAGCATTTAGAGATTATATAAGAACAACAAGCCATCCAATTCACTTTAACATTAACTATTTGCATAATAGTCTCTGTATTTTGTCTCACACTTAGTGAGTGATGAAAGTACCAACAATAGCAGGGTGAGGAACATAGAGAAGTTGTAAGTTTTATAGGAAAAATGTTACATTTTGCTGTAGGCCAAGTTCTTTTAGATATAATTTGTCTATTTGTACTAATATATTTGAAAGAAAAGGTTGCTGAAAGTGTACCATGCAGCCAGCCAAGAAGCATGCACAGGATAAGCCTTACACCTTAATTGTATGGAGCAGAACACCATGGGATGAAGACCTTACTGAGAGGAAAAATAAAGAGGAAGAAGAAGCAAGAAGCAAGTATTTGGGATGTTACGTTATGTTATGTTATGTTATGTTATGTTACATTACGTTATGTTACATTACATTACATTAATTACATGGACTGCAATGATCGAACACAAAAGAACTCATAGAATGCTCAATCCATATCTAGTAGTGCTCGCTGTCTGCCCCAGCAATGTCTGCTCCTGGGGAAAGGGTGAGTGTCACCACCATATCTTATTCCCAGTTGCATACAGCGCCACCAGTGCTGGAGATGTGCAGTACTAAACATCCTGCCAGGCAGGATCAGGGGCTGTCCAAGAACTGCAGCCTCTCCCAGCAAGAAGAAGGGCTGGGCAAAACCTTCCTTCACTCTGGGTAACTCCATCTCCTCCACTTCCCTCCTGAATGACTAAGCAGCCACTTGGGCACATCATATGCATGCACTTGTACCTGATGATGACTCTCTGGAACACAAATCCTGCTCCTCTTTTAAGTGCTACCATTTCACAATGTGCTAACATACTTTATTTTTGGTAATAGTTCTTCATCTAACGCAGCAAGACAAGTGTACTCACTCAGTCCCTTGATACTCTTTAAATAACATTCCTAGCTAGGAGCATCCTTTGCCAGGAGCACCAGGCTCACCCTCCATGGTTAGAGGCCAATCTCCAGAGAGTGCTGTGCACAGTGTCGCACTCGCTGCACCAGCACCATGGCAGGATGGGGGTCAGAAGCAAACAAAGCTGCTCTGCCCCCTGGCATGCACTGAGGAGTGAGAGGCCCATGAGGTCCATGCCTTTAGGAGGTGATCAGTCAGCAGGTGCCTCCCCTCCTCACTCAAAACCTGATTGTGGGGTCCATGCAGACGTTGAGCACTATTTCCATAATCTCTCCCGTTCCCAAGTCCCCAAGACTCCTCTTGCCCATGTACCTGCTAACACAGGGCTTTCCCTTTTTATTACAGTTTGATTCAAAACAAATATGAAACTCCCTAGTATGTCTGAATTGTGCTCAGCATTTTCTTCATGTGGCAAGGCAGCTGCTCCTTGGTAGTCTCCTTATCTACAGCAGAGATCAATGCAATATTCTACTTACCTGTGATAAGCTGCATCTTCAGGCCATAACAAAACTCATTTTATCAGGGATTTTTCAATGTTGTCCATATATCTAACAGATAAATTAAAATTAAAGAAATTTAGAAAGTTAAAGTAACATTTATACTTCAACAATAAATCTATAATGCTTTTATAAATTTCATATAATTTATCGATTGCTCTTTGAGCTTTTTTTATTTTGGAAGTGATATCATGCTTAGATTTGTCTTGTGTTTGCCTAATGTATGTAGCCCTAGCTGCACCACCAGATCTAACATGGTTTATTTTTATTTTTTACAACTTGAATTAAAAAAGTGTGATCAACCTGACTTTCAACTAAGTCTCACCCTTTCTAGAAAACACCCCTTACTCTGGGTAGAGAGGAAGTCATTGAACTTATGAAACACAAATCTTAGCACCTTCAGGAAATAGTAGGAAAATAGACCCCCCACCTGTAGAAACTTTCGATAGGAAAATGTACTAAGGTGATCTCAGATCAAGTTTCCACAGTTAACACACATTCTTCAGCATTAAGGAGTGGATGTTCTCAAAAATTAGAAATGAAAAATTCTCTTATCTTCCTTTTTACAGAAACTTCTCTACTTCAAATGTTAAATTGATCGGTTTTTTCTCTTTTTTTCAGTGAAAATGTCAGTGGAAAACTTCAAATGCACAGGTGGAGTCAGAGAATGTAGGGGAAATGAGTAGGCCAAGTCTCCAAAATCTGTTAATTCTGGAAGATTCTGATCCTGGAGGATCTGGACAGAAACTCAAGTTACCCAGACTAGGAGAGCAACTGGACATTAGAAGGAAGGTTGAAGTCAGGGAAGACTTGTGCTGTCCCTCTGTCAGCACAGCCTGTCAGCAGCAGTAGTGGGATGTAACAGCTTTTCCCGGTAAATAAACATCCCCAAACTACTCAGAGGTGAAACCCACATCAGTTAAATAAGCTAAGGCTTATAAATACATCTGTAGAGCAAGGCAGCTTGGAAAATGTGTTGCTTTTGTCTGGTAATTAAGAAAAGCAGTTTGTGTGACTCCAGTGGATTGTCAGGGAATGTAAGTCCAGCCCTTTCAAATGTCAACATTGTTCTACCACCCTCTGCATTTTAACGAAGTCACAGTGTAAAAAGGACTAATTAGTCTGTTATGAAAAGGCAGACATCCAAAGATGATATGTGAAGCATTTCTGTACCAGAACCTGTAATTAATTACTTTGTGTTGGAGTTCAGATAGGTGTATTGGAAAAAAAAAAAAGAAAATAACCTTCCTCCTTGCAAATCTTTTAAGGGTTATTATTAATATTGTTTTTGTTATTTTGACTGACATTTCTCTTTCTCTTAAGTGCATTGTAATTTTGGTCTTGGGAAAAAGGAACTATATGGAATGATTTTTTTAAAATTTTCAAAGCACTTTCTAATTCTTTCTCCTTCACAGCACACCTCTTGCTGTGTAAGCCTTTTCCATACATAAAAATGAAAACCAGCAAAGATATAAGAGTATTCATAATCCAACACAACTTTAGGTAATATGTTTAATTAACGTGAACAAATTCATCATTTTATTCTTATTATAAAGATGTTTTATGAAACATAGGATTTTCACCAAGCATAAAATTCATGCCATGTCTTACAGAGCTCTGATAGAAATTTACTTTGGATGCTTTTTTGCTCTACCAGTTATTCTACAAGATTATTTCCATGCATGTGTGCTGGTTGATACATACACTTATTAGAATGGCGAAGTTGCAACTGGTGTCACAAGAGCATTTACATCCTGCTCAAACTAATTATTTGGACAGAAATGACAAATTGTGCTTCAAAAAGGAAAATAGTATTGCCAGAGTTTCTAATGTGAAGAAAGTACAGTTAAATTGAACAATTTCCTATCTCATTCTGTCCCAATAACCTGTCCCAGTCTTCTGAAATATTAATAAAAGAATAATTATTGCCATTTATGGTCAAAATGAAATGCTGGTAGTGGCATATTATTTTATAGCAGTTGCTAGTATTTTCCCTTAGCAATTGCCTATTTATTTGACTTGCACTTGACACCAGCTGACTTGTTATTGCCCTCAGTATTACAAGAAGGGCACATTTAAAGAGGAAAAAAAGTCATTAGCGTCAAGATTAATCATAAAAACATTGATTTTTAGAATAAAATGAGAAAAACATTTTTTGAGGAAGATGTGCAAACATCTGTACAGCATGAGATCTTGTTTAACTAGATCAGCATTGGGTATAGAACCCCATTTACTGAGCAGATTTCACAGGGAGCTCACAACAATCCTGCCTGGACTTTTTCCAGCTGGATTCCCAAACCATTGGCCAGCAGGGAGGAATCTTGTTGGAGATTATCTACTAGTGGCAAAATGATGTTTAACTCACAGCAAGACATACAAGTGTTACAGTGCACTGACTGGAACAGACACCAAAGGGAGACAACATCCCCGTTCCCTTTGCCTTGTGATTTTGTTCTTTCAATTTTTAACACTTCAATGGTAGCTCAGTTCCATCCTTACTGGGAGCAGCACTGGTTACCCACTAAGGTTTTCAGGAGGTGCTGGGACCCATCCACTCAGATAAAATTGTAATTGAAAGACCAAATAAAAAAGGATGTAAGGTAAACACACAGTGATATCTCTTTGCTCATAAGCTTTTTTGCTGGAATTAAAACTAAACTGGAATTAAAACTCCCCCTCCTAAGAAAAAAAAACTAACTTGAAATTTTTAAACTGTTAGGTGTTGCTGGGTCTGTTTGTACCTTAGTTCTCAAGCCTTGAAACTTTTTGAATATTTCTTAGCATTTTATATAGTAAAAAAGTTACATTAATAGACACTCCATCTAGCTAAACTTTTCAATTACTTTCTCTAAGAGTACTCATACTTTTTGCTACTAAAAGAACAGGGAAATACAAAATGCATGTATTTCCTCACAATAGTCTAATTGTAGCACTCGTGCAATAATTCCCAGAAAAATAGTTTGTAGTTACATGTGACCATGTAAAAAACAATATGCAGTGGACATATTATTATAAACCAAGATATTCCTATTTTCCTTTTGGCATTTTGCTTAGTGTTTTCTCACACTAGAAACAGAAAAAAAAAATCACAATGATCCTTAGAATCTGCTTTAAGACCAGACAGCATCTTCATGCTCTTCACCAGTATAAGGTTTGTAACTCACAGCCAACACAGGTGCATTAAGGATTCAGGGACTGTCAGGAAATCCCACCCTTTATCCCATGTTCTCAGAGAAAATGTTTGCCTGTACTGGATCAAAATACACAGATTCCTCCTGTACAGGATAAGCTTAGAAGAGAGAACATTCATTGTTTAAACAGACAAGCCACAGAGCAGCACCATCATTTTTTCTCTTACTCCTCTCATAGAATGAAGACACAGACAAGAGTGGATTTTCTCCAGGGTAATCTCCACAGCATGGCTTTGCAAATACAGGTTTCTAAGAGTAATATACACTCCTCACTCATCTGAGTGATTTCAGCAAGACTCTGTGACTTCATCATCATCACCTCACAACTCAGTAGGACATGGCAAGTAACAAAGCCCATCAGTTCTTGATATCATGCAGGTTCACTCCAACATCCCTTCCTAATTTTTAATGCATCCTGCCCTTGAGCATAGCTATTTGCTATTACAGGTAAGGCTGCACAAGCATACGGTGAGTGGAGGCCCAGTGAGCTGGAACATCCTGTTTCAACTGATATTCTGCAGAACTGTTTGGCTGTAGGAGCTCAGCAATATATTTTGATAGGCTTGACTGTGCAGCTATAGATCTAGTTTGCTTCCCGCTTGGATATTGTTCATGCTTCAGTTATCACACATAAAATTAGTGATAAGCAATATTAAGCAGAGCACTCTGTATCGCAGCTCTGCCCAAGAGGGCTGATAACAGATCCCAGTCTCTTTATGCTTTTTGCCTTTATAGGAACCTGAGTGACTGCTTCCCTGGGAAGCAGAAGGCAATAAGTATTCCGAGCTTTATGTTAATGCAATGTCTGTCACATCCCTCTTGCACCTTTACCAGGAGCTTTCAAAGTCTTGGTGGAAATCCTAAAATGGAATACTTTTTTGCTAGTGCTTTTCCAATAAGGATGCTATGATGCAGAAATAACTAGTAAGGATATTTTAACAGCTTGGTATGCATAAAAAATGCATGATCTTCAAAACACAACTTCTGATAGCAATTAGCATGTATTTATACATGTAACTGCGTTCTTACCTGGTTATTGCAGTATACAGAAATCAGCTTTTATCTTGATGTGTCATAAACCCACAGAGTTCTTAATTTAATGCATGTTCAGCCCAGTAAGACCAGTAAAGAATCACATACAACTATCCCATTTTTTATAGCACTTTTATAGTTCACACTCAGGAGTCTAAATCCTGGCTTTTCTTCCCTTGTTGCATTCTATCAGATGCAGATTCTCGTAGAAAGGACTTAATAATCTCCCATATTGCTTGAGTATTTTATTTGCAGGCTTGGAGTTCTTTTTGCCTTCAAATTTTATACTCTCTTCAGGGATACCACATATCAGGTGGCCTGATATTTTCCTTAAAATATCCAGAGGTTATACATGTCCCCACACTTTCCACCCTATGGTGCTGGTGCCACCTTATGAACATCAGCACACAAGCCCTTTTCCTGTAAACAAGATGCCCATTTCTTCCTTCCAGATTAGTCAAGATCACATTCGTAAAACTCTGAACATGCAGGGAACTGCAAGAAGACATGGGTCCCTTGCCCCTTGGACAGTAAAAGTACAAAAATGATTCTGAATTTCCCTAAGTTCTGCAGCAGATGACAATTGATTCCTGTTCTTCCACCTTGCATCTTGGACACTGTTGTATATTTTGGCTCTGAGTTTCCAATATTCCACAGCTTCATGTATTATTTCCTTTCATTCCTCAGTATTTTACTATTCAGTTCTAGATTTACTGGTGCCAAAACTTTTATTTGGAAGGATTTGCTATTAGCTTTAAAATTATTGGGCATTTCAGAGGGGAAAAATCAAATGCATGTTCAGATAAGAGACTTAAGATAAGGAACCAAAGATAAGAAACCACAGGAGAACACTCTTTGTATCTGTCTGGCATAGACATATTTTATAAAAGAAGATATCTGATTAAGATCAATAAGGTAAAATAATCTTTACGTTACCTACACTTAAACTTACAGCATGATCTGGTAAACCATTTGTTCCAGTGCCAAAGGAACCCCTTTTTCCAAATCCTTACCCTCAACTATACAATAACATCAAAAGGAAACATTTCCAGTGATTGCTTTGCATAGGAGCACATCTGCCCTGTTGCAAATGAACACAGAACCCCACTCATTTTTTTGTGCACCTCTTTCTATCCAGCAAAATAAAAAGTGCTGAATTCATTTGAGATGTAGAACAAGAGTCACAGTAGATGCAGGTATGTTGACTTACCATAAACAGAGGTTTAGCTCCTGCTAAGAAATGAAAACCATCTAAATCATTCAAATGTACTCTCTAACTCTCATAAAAACATTTTGAGTCATCTGAATAGAATTTGGAGACATCTAAATATGCTAATTAAGTTTCATTGTTCTATTTAATCTTAAAAATTTACTGGAAACCCTGGAGGATATTTTGTTTGGCATCAAGAGAACAGCAGACTCACATGAATGCCAGACTCCTGTGTGATTGGTTGTCCTGTCCCAGAGCCTCAGGAATCCACATCAGCACCACTGCACAATTTTGAATTCCTGTACAAGGAAAAATGGACAAAACACGTTGGATTTACCTACTTCAACTTTGTTTTGCATGCTGTAGCAGTCTCCTTAGCATTTTATATAATACAATGTGCTAGGTGGGCTATTAGAGCAACGTGCTTAGTTAAGAACCAGAAGTATAAAATGAACAACCACTCAGATCTGACACAATGGCTTAATAAAATGATACAAACAAACAAAAAATCTAAACACATATTACCACCCACCACCACCATTCCTTTCCCCAAAAGAAGAAGAATAAAAAACTGTTGGAAGGGTCAATACTGTATTTTTTAAAGCTTTGTCTACCTTGTAAGCAAGAATCTTCTAATTTTCATCTGGATTAGCACTGCTTCCCAGATGAGAGAGTTGCATAGTCACTTTTCTGAAACCCATACAGGAATAATGAGCAACTTGAGCATCAGGCTCTGGGGGTGTGCAGTCTATCCATCTATTGCCTCATGAAGGCTCCTGGGGTTTCTTAAAAAGATTATAATGGGATCCAACAAGGGTAACTTTGATTATCCCATGTGGTTTGAAGGATATGTCAACCAAATCACAGAGACCATGAATCTGAAAGGCAGCTGACAAATCTAGAAGAGAAGAGAAGAGAGTTTGCTAAGATTCCAAAGGAAGATTTATATGTCAGATTACTGACTATATTTCAGAAGCTGACATTTCTAGGAACATCAATTGGAGATACAATTATTTATTGCTACCCATATAGAGCCCCATAGACATTAGGATGTATGTGCAGACATTACAGTCAGCTGCCAAAGAAACAGAAAGAAGGGAAATAGGAGGAGAGGGAGAGCAGCTTTTTTTAATATATATATAAAATATTTTTTTTTGAGCCTCTGATGTTTTCTGAAGAATTAATCTGGATACATATCACCTTTGATGGTTTACTTCACCATCTCAGTTCACAATTTAATTTTTCTCATGAGTTTCTATGAACTATTCTCGAGAATTTTTTTCAATGGGAGTAACACTATCTCAAGGCAGATACTAACTTCAATTATAGTAATCTTGTTACAAATAAATTCTGGTCTTGTTCTTGAGGACCTTCAAGGAACCCTGCTATCCCAAATTCCCTTCTGTTGGCACAGCCTCCTCCTTAGAGCCTCTCAACACCAAAGGATTCTTTCCTTCTAAGAGAAAAAAATCATACACATTATTGAACATCTTGTAGCAGATATACTACATACATTATTTGTTACCACACTGCTTAATGGCACTCAAACAGAATGTTATAAACACATAATAAATATCAATCTTGAAAATATATTAAAAATTCGAAGAATAACAAATTACCAATGTATGTGAACTAAAGTGATTATAAAATAATAACCATGAAGGAAGTTGAAATTCTGAAGTTCTGAACAGGTAAGATAAATGATTGAAAACTTCTATAAAACACTTGGAGAGCAAAGTTTCTAATATCACAATTTTATCTCATTTTTGCTGAGTACTAGTACATGGTATAATGCCCAAAAATATATCCATAAGAGTGTAGAGAGAATTACTTTCCTGTAGCTGTAAATTTGTTTCACTAATCATAGAATCACATAATGGTTTGGGCGGGAAGGGACCAGTTCCAACACCCTGCCATGGGCAGGGACACCTTCCACAGGCTCCATCCTGTGGAGGAGACCCAGCCCTCTGACAGGCACTGTGGCATCCTCCCTGGAGATCGATTCCCTAAGACAAAACTGCCTAGTCACTGTGACTAAGCTGTGGACCCCTCCCTGCCTCAGGACCCCTGTTAACTACTGGTCATCTTACCCCAGTCTCAGACTGTTGGTCCCCTTCCTGATTCTCCCCTTCCCTATAAAAACCCCAGCTTTTACCCAGTTCAGGGTTAGACCATCACTGGCCCTCTTCACTGAAGCCTGCATTAAAGACTCTGCAGAACACTATATGGTCTTTCCGTCTCTTGTCTGCATCGGCAGGGGAAACCCCAAATGGAGCTGGCTGGGCTGAACAGAGCTGATCACTTAAAGCCCTTGCCCGTGCTCCCAGGGTTATCCCTGGCTGGAGACTGCTTGCAGAACCCCAGATGGTGGCTCTGTCCCCTGGGACAGCCTGGCTATCTGGGCTTGTTGCCGGCAGAAGCTGGGAGTCAGACAGGCCCCCAGGACCAAGCCAGCAACACCATCGAACCTGGCCTTGAACATTTCTCCAGGTATGGGGCCTCCACAGCTTCTCTGGTTGCCCTGTGCTGGGGCCACACCAAGCTCAGAGTAAAGAATTTATTTTTAATAGCTAATCTAAACCCTCCTCTTTCAGTTTAAAGCCACTCTCCCTTGTCCTATCATTCAGCTCTTCTGTAAGCTGCCACAACTCTAAAAATCACTCCTTTCTCAGTTTATATTGGACCTTTAAAAACAGGAAAAACAGTTTTCCTGGACTAGAGGAAACTCAAACTTCCAAAGTTCAGCTTCTGTTCCTTTAGCAATTCCAATTGCTGGGGTTTCATTCCATTTTCATTTTGTCCTAAGTCTTAAATACACCAATTCCTTGTTGACGGAGTAATCAAGCAATCAAAGAAAAGGGACTCCCACTGATGTCTATTCAGAGGGTTGCAGCTAGGAAGCAGGGTTATTCTTTTGTTATGGGGTTGGGGCTTTTTGGCAGATTGGTGTGAGGATGACACTTACAGCACCACTCCCTCAGTGCATCCTCCTCCTGCCCCACCTCAGACAGATCTGGTTTTCAGCTGACTCCTTTTTAACTCACCAGTTAAGGTGAGCAAGAAATGCAGCTCTTGGTGACAGCATGAGCAAAGAGATTTGATTCAGATGTAGTTCTACATACACAAACTAACATGAGAACAGAATAAAGTGGGGCCTTGATTATATATTTTGAAAAGCAGTATGTGTTACCACAAATAAATGGCACAGACTGCTGGGTCCTAATAATGACTTTTCACTCATTGTGCCTCAAGATGCAAAATACACCGCAAACTCCAGGTGTTGCTCACAGAATTGTGCCCAATGTTCCTCAGAGAGGTTAGAAATTCATATCCATTTCTTTTGTAGCAACTAAGATAGATTTTTCTTATTTTAATTGCTTTTAATTTGAGATATAATTTTGGCTAGTTTTTAGCCGAATGCCCTTGGTAACCAAGGCATTCACACCCAGATTTTAAATTATCCTAAGGATTTAGTAGGATGCAATCCATTGATTTTAGCAGATGATAGGGTGCTTGCTAGCAATGCTCTGCTAAACCTTATATATCCACAGAACATTGACATATAACATGGATGCACACATAGCTTTAACAGTGCAGTTGTTGCTATATCAGCCTAAGACACTAGCAAAGCAAGGTCCAAAGGCAGATATAGGACTGTTATCCCAGGTGGTACCCCTGAGGGGAGAAAAAAAGCTACGTTTTCAGGTACTTATGGTGTTCTTTAGCTCTCTTCTTCAGGGACACTGGTTGCAAGTACAAAAAGCTGTGTGCAAAACTTATTTCTAGCCGTAACAATTAACTAAGTTAAATGTATGGCCTATTTCAGCAAACCCTGCCTTGAACATCCTTTCAGCTTAAAAAATTGGATCTTTCTCTTCTTCAGTGCCATAATATTTAACACAGGAACAGATTATTAGTTTGTGTGCTTCCTAATAAATCATCTTAAACCGACTGGATTAATGCCTTCTTGTAATATTCCTTGGCCATGATTCCTTGTTATCCTAGAGCCTGTGTGCTGAAAAGAGCAACCAAAGAATCAAACAACTGCTGTATCTAACCACTGCATGGGGCAGAAAACAATGGGGCAAGTAAAGGTAACCCAATCTAGCTTTATTTAAGTCTGCAGTTACAGTAGTTATGATCAATGGTGGTTATGAAGTATAAATTGGATGTAGATTTCCTATGAATGAATAAGACTCTGTAGTCTTCAAATTAACTAATACACACATTTCATTAGTCTTAGCTAGTCATCACCAAAAAGTAAATCTCACTGTTCCAAAAATCTAAAGCCTGTGCATTTACAGCTACATCAACATGCTTTTAAATATTTTTAATTGAAAGTAACTGATAGAAGGTAATGCAGCATTCATCTTGCTGTGGATTACATGAGGCATATAGTGTAATGTTTTAACTAATGTTTTATTTAAAGACAGACTCCAAAACTCTGTGTGAGTAATTGCCAGTTTGTCAGCTGAATCACTTTATCCTTTGGAGGAGCTTTTTGTCATTATATGAGATGGTTCCCAATTTCAGTGCAAGCCAATTTGTAGGATAAATGTACCTCAGTGTCATGCATTCCATTCTTGAATACTAAAATATTATTTGAGGGCTTGTTTTTAGAAAATTATTATTCTTCCTATATTTACAGACATGTTACTAAATGACATATGCATTGAAAACCTGTGTTTTTATGGGAAAAAGAACAATGATCTCCCTTCTTTTTCATATATTTGAAAAAAAAGTCTACTCATTAGCTTCTTAGTAGGAGAAAATATTTATGTATAGTGTAGCAAAGTTTAATCCCACCTGAAAATTTTTATTTATCTTAATGGAACTGTGTGAATGGAAGAGCTGGCAGAGCTGGACCCCTTGTGCTCAGAATACTGTATTTACACATCAAATACTGCACTTGCACATTGCCAAAAAGCAGGCTATATGAACAGCATTTCTAATCATTGTAAATCAGTTCAGGACTATTTTGTGTTTTTAAAATGCTTACACTGCTTTGAAAGAGAAAGACATTCTGCTTATATTTAGGAGACTGGTACATATTAATCCTCAAAATGTGGCACCATACATTTTTAACCTCTAGAATAAAATAATATCAATAATCTTGTTTGAATTCTTTGGTTAAGTGAGCAGAAATGCAGATGATTTACTGGATCAATTAAAATTCTATGAACTGTATTCCTTGTCAAACTAATTTGTTTATATCTGGATTGTTCACCTATCTGTGTACAGAAATAAAACGTGTGCGAGACTGACTTGCACAGACATCTGTAGGAGAAACTGCATCTTGTATTTTATGTAGGAGGGAAGCAGTTGGGAGATGAGCAAGAATTGTATGAATCATCTTACGACTACAATCTATATCAAACTTCCTCCTCACAGGAAATAAAGTTACCTGACAGTTTATCCAGTAGCGTGGGTTTCTGAAAACTTTGCATAAAGTTTGTTTGAAGAGGCCTCATATTTTAAATCTCTGGAAAAATATTTTTTCTAAATATATCCAAAGCATTTGATTTTAACAAAATAAAACTGGAGAATTAAAAAAATTTACAAAGCTTTGGACTTTGCAATGAAGGCATTAGCTTGCAAATCCGAGCTACAGTTTGAAAGAAAACTTCAGCAATGTTGCCATGTGGATCTGATTAATTTGATCACTGTTTCTACGATCAGCACAAAACTATTTCACACACACCACCCCTTACCTTACCTTCCTTTTAAATTTGCATGGCTTTGATTTTAAGAAGTCCCTAACTAAAAGCTTCCTTTCCCATGCTCTTTGGGTGGTACCCACTGAACTGATGAACAAGCAGCTTTTCCCACCTTCATGTTTTCAAAGGATCAGGGAAAGACAACAGACATTTTGGCAGAAGCTTTG